TGGCTGATGCTTTAGCCAAACAGGGGGTTTCTAGGGAAGATCCTTTTTGTGCTTCTTTGTAAGTTGTTATTAATTTGGAAATCTGTACTTAACTAGCCCGGAGAGGTTGCAACTCGTGCCTTTTCTTGGGGACTTTGTACTATTGTCTATTGCTGATTAATAAAATTATTTCAATTATCAAAAAAAAAAAACACTGTATAGACTTGAAAGCTTCCTTCGTGAACTCCTCCCCTCCTAAGAAAAGTAGACCCAGAATTCTGCTAACGTCCACTTGTTCACTACTTTTTCAATGTCACAAGTGACCTCCACCTTATGTGTTACATCTATCATTAAGATATCCCCAATTTCCTCCCTTGAGTCCTCCTCTAAGTCCACTTTCAGTCCCCTTTCTCTGTTTTCTTCTAAGGGAAAAGTTTTGTATCTTTTCCTTTTATAGATTCTGACCCCACCCCCACTCTTGTTTCCTGCCCCTTGCTTCCCCCTTCCTCATTTCTTGCTCCTTTCTCCCCTTCCTTCTCCTCCACTAAACCATTATCCCCTTCCCTTCATCTGTTCCTTCCCACCTCTTCCTCTTCTCTTGTTTCACCTGCCCCTACAAACCTAATCATCTCAGCTCCTTGACTGCTCTCCCCCTCTTCCCCGATTGCAACTCCATCTCCTTCTCTCACATCCCTTATCACCTCTCCACTTTTTCCTTCTTCCATTGCCGCTCTTTGTTCTTCCATATCTCTAACTGTAATTTCTTCCATAGCTTCTTCCTTATCGTCGGAGCCTTCCTGTAAAACTTCTGTCATTCTCTCATTATTCTGTTGATGAATTTTGCCTTCAGAACCCTCATGAACTTCTTCCTTCTCTTCCTCACTTCTCTTTTCTTCCTAGTTGATTTTCTCTATAAGTGATAAATTCTTCTTCCTAGGGAAGAACTTTGTTTTTCTCAAGACGAATCCTTCGGCATTGTTAATTGCCTCTTCTGCGACCTCCTTCACTATTGACCCTTCTTATCCGTTGCATTACCTACTTGATCACCTAATCTTTCAGAACCTTCTGTCATCCCTTGTGTCAACCTCAAGCTACCCGATTTAGTAGTTTTGTAACCATTATTTTGTTTACTCCATTAATAAAATTTTAAAACTTGGGCTTCCCCTCCAAAATCATTGGGCCCATTCTTTGGCCCAAAACTAATAGACTTGAAGACTCTTCTTCATTGTTGCAAAGCAAACATAACCTTTCTTGGACAAAGAAACCTCTTTTTTGTAACATATCCTTTTTAATGATTTTTTCCACCCATAGGAAAAAAAAAACTTTACTTTTGAAGGAGCAACTAGAAGAGGTCAAAAAGTTCATCTCTTGGTCTTGAATCCCAAATATACCATGATTTGCACTCTCTACTATTAAATTTCAAAGCATATATTTTGTTGTAGTCCTTATTTTGAAAGTTCTTGTTTCTAAGGTATTTGTCCATTAGATAAGGTTGTGTTTGGATATTTTCTTTTCTGCTTTTCAAAGCCTCAAAGCAGGAAGCATTATTTGAGCTTTTACTATGCATTTTATGTATGAAAACTGTTTGGTAAATGTTGCTTTCACAATGATAAGGGCCAAGTGTATATCATATAATTCATGTCAACCAATATTTAACGCAACTTTAAAAATTCATTTGCCAATCTTGCATAATGTGGCACATTGTCACGGGGTTAGGTTTGGTAGCGGAAGAAACCTGTGCGGCATGGGCTTGTTCGTCTAGGACAAACCTTTTGTGATGTAAGGGCTTGTTCATTGATGGCTCCACCAAGGTCTTAGGTTAGTGGCACTGGATCATGACCTCATTACGCATGGTCGGGGTTATTGTCTAGCTCTTGTCGATCCATGGAAGGCATCGCTTATGTGCCAAAGGGGGGGATTGTGCCAATGATGTCGATGCTAAGCAACTGCTGGGCCTTGAACACATTTAAGTGCTAGGACATTGGATAGCTCGACCAACTTAGACATGGGGCTGGCGAGGTGAACATACATGGCTATGGGCAACCCACATGCAAACCTCCCTTTCATGTGTGGTGCGTAGTGCTGGTCCATGCTGCTAACTGTGTAGCCATTAAACCAGGTTGCCCAACGAGGGATGTGAGGTGTTGGGAGTGCGAAGGGTAGAACCCGCAAGGTTCTAAATATTGATACAGGCCGATACAGGTAAGCACCCATATTGACCTGTATTGAGCTGCACCTTTATCAGGGGGTTGGTTTAAGGCCCCGTCTACCCCATGAACCAGGTTAGACCCTAAAACACCCATTGAAGGGGAGTATCAGGGGGTCACCAATACGATACGGATAGGCCAATACACCTTGATATGTTTCGATATTTAGAACCTTGGGCACCCGAAGAGGTTGACCACCCATCCTCAAAGAGGACATTAAGCTTTTGATATTCCACAAAAAGATAAGTCTTCCAAAATATCATATTGGGGAAATTTACGATAATGCTACTCAACCCAGCTGACCAAGCATAGGTAGACTGAGCTTGCTTTTTGACCGTCATGTGGTTCTGCATAGTAGCACATGGCACATCGTTCTACCATGTGACATCCACTTAGAACGTGGTTTGTTATGTCTTTCTCAATATGCAGAGCCATGGTTCTGCCACATAGAACATGGCATGTTGTTCTACCATGTTTGCCACCTGCATGGTATAAATGGTTATCCACAGGCACACATGGTTATGTGTTATGTCACATGTAAGGTTCAAAGTATCGATACGATACGCATATCGGTCGTATTGTATCGGTACTTATAGACGGCCAAAACACCTTTTTTTTTTCAAATTTTGGTTTTTTGGGAAGCTTAAAACATGTTTTTTATTATTAAAAAATGTTGGGGGTCCGAAACACATGGAAATAGGCGTTTTGGACCGTATCTTTTTCGAAAGATACGATACGCCCCCTCCCCCCCTCAAAAAAAAAAAAAAAACTAAGCAAAAGCTTCTCCAAACTGTGCTTTAGTTTTACATCTAATCCATCCTTTTAGTTTTTTTGATGGGAAACAGTACTAATCCTTTCTTAGTTTCATCAATTAATACAATGTCATCAGCAAATAACAAGTACCATGGGGCCTCCTGAGTATGTTTCTTTTTGATAAATGATTGAATTTTATTCAATAAAATCAATAAGATATTACAATACAGCCTTCCCAAAGGAGGGGCACGAGCTGGTGTCTCTCCACAATAGCAACAATGTACTACCTCAGACTAGTAAAAAAAAATTTACAAAGCTGCCCAGAATAACTGTTCCCTTGATACCCCATGTTTGGCTGACCCATCCGCTATGGTGTTAGCTGTTCTACCCACCCACTGAAAAATAGCATTCATGTTCCTTGAGAACCATTTAGCTTTCCTCATAATACCCCTGTAGCACCAGATCACTGAATCTGGATTTTTTAGCCAACTCACAACTTCTAGTGCTTTGCATGTGTTAGTGGCGATTTGTGTATTTATCATGTGTTCCTTTCTTACATAAGCTTTCTGTTTTTTAACATCTTCCTAGGATGCGCTAGAGTTCTTTCTTCATCTTCTTGACCAAGTTGAACGAGCTAATGCTGGAAAACCTGAATTGGATCCTTCAAGGAGTTTCAAGTTTGGTATTGAAGAAAGACTTGAATGCTCATCTGGAAAAGTTGCTTATAATAAAAGAGTTGATTACATCCTGTCTCTTAATATCCCTTTGCATGAAGCTACTAATAAAGGTGAGTTCTTGTAACACTGTGCTCACTGTGCTCTGTGTCAATCCCATCTCCGAAGTCATTGCCTAATGATCTTATGATTTGAGAATCCAGAACAGCTGGAAGCCTTTCAGAAGTTGAAGGCTGAAAGGGGTTCGGATAGAGAAGTGTGAGTTCTACAAAAGTAACTTGACTCCATATTTCATATTGTACTTCTTGAATATTCCACTTAAATGTCTACTTATAACAGATCTAGTGATGAAATTGTACGCCCAAGGGTGCCATTGGAAGCATGCTTGGCAAACTTTTCTGCTCCAGAAGAGGTGCATGAATTTTACAGCACTGAATTGAAGACTAAGACAACAGCAATAAAGTAAGTTTTCTAGTTTGTCTCTCACTGAATCATCTGGTCAAAGAACATGAAAAGAAACCCAATGCTGAAAATCACTTACGTAGTTTGAACTTGGCTTCTACTTGCCAAACTGTTACTTTATTTGTTGTAGTTAGAATATCTGTTGTCTGGATGTCAATAACATTGTCTGCAGAATCATGGAAACTAAAATAACTGGAGCTTTGACCTTTTCTGTTCTCTGCAGAACTGCTGGTTTAACTTCATTCCCAGATTATCTTGTGTTGCATATGCGGAAATTTGTTATGGAGGCAGGATGGGTGCCAAAAAAACTTGGTAACAAACTCCTGACTTAAACCCCATCTAATAAATGAATGACAAGAAAAAGAAAAAATGCAGCACAAAGTGTTTCTTATTTCACCTAATGGCAGCGGTTTTGAAATATTAATGCACTTGTTTTCTGTTATTTTCCAGATGTCTATATAGATGTACCTGATATTATTGATATTAGTCACATGCGCAGCAAGGGTCTTCAGCCAGGCGAAGAGCTATTGCCAGAGGCAGGTTGGTAACACCAAGAGACATCAGTGACTTCCTTTGGGTGTTATTTATTGTCAAAGTTGTAATCCCCTACTCATTCTGCTAGAACTTCAGCAGAATGGGGTTAAGCTTTGCTTGATCATATTGATCCATGTGTTCAAAACATATTCAGGGAGCTTCATAACCCAAACCTCTAATCAAGTTGAGACCTACTAATTGTAACTTTTTGGCCTACCTTTCCAAACTAGGATAGACTTTGAGAGTCAATGATTGAACAAGTCTCTGTTGCTATGTTAACCAGATATGGCAAGGACATAACTTGATATGGTGTCTGATGCATAATTTACACTAAAAATTGAGGTATCCAACACAATATTGGCATCCTTGTTGGTATATACCATATAGCTCTGTTATCTGAATAGTAGATGGATTCCCAAATCTGAGTTTTTACATTTCTTTACTATAGGTTTCCATGCATTATCTATGTATATAGAGGATTTGGTTAGCCATAATTCTGCCTCGATGGAAAATCTAGACGAGGAGGAAGAATTAAGTTGCTATGATGGAAAATCTTCCTCCATAGAGATCAAACCAAGAGTATTGTCCTATAAGTGAGCACTCTTTCCTTCTGTTCTCATTTTTACTTTAAAATTTCCTTATTTATCAAGGTTTTGCATACAACGAGCATTATTTTTGTGTGAAAACCAGAGATCCACCAATGAGAATTTGTTGGTCCCTTTAGCCTCCTGGTTCACCGTCAAACTTGCTAGTACAAATAGTGATTGTCCATCTAACTTTACAAAGACACAATTTGCTTAGTTGACTCCCAAGTGGACAAAGGGAATGGAAAACCCTTATAGTCCATATGTGCAGTGGTTGCAAGGTAACCCTTCCACACTACTTGTTACTTCTGCAAGGTAGGCACCCAAAAAACTGTACTACGAAGTTGCTGCTGTCAGCAAGATGATGCTTCATCTGTTTCTTTTTTCTTTATGTTCTAAATTCTTTGAAACATAAAGTTCATCAAATAGAACAATAGTGGCATTGGGTTGTTATTGTTATTCTTATCTATGCTGACAACTAAATGCTTCTAGTTTATAGGCTTGAATTATCATTGGTAAAAGGTATGCAGTTTGCTGAAGTGAAAAGTTTTTTGATTGTTGGGCAACATTAAGTAACCATGGTTTCAAATCTGATGGTTTTCAATGTGAGTGGCTGAGAAGGTGGTAAAAAACTGGGAATTCTAAGTGGATAGTGCAAGTAATGAAGGTTCTGGATTAACAAAAATGCAACTGTCTTCTCTAAAGGCTCATGATCTTCTACCAATAAAGTAGGATGGTTTAGGTTCTTTTAATTTTCTATACATGCTACTGCACATTTTCAGAACCAAGGAGGGGATGATGTGTTGTAGACAAGTGAGAATGGTTTTACTAATTATTTACTATGTTGTGCAGTCCCTGATAGTGAGGAGTCAAGCAAACCTTCGGCCAATGAAGACATTGTTTCCCAGCTTGCGGCCATGGGATTTAACTATCTCCACTGTCAGAAAGCTGCAATTAACACCTCAAATTCTGGTGTTGAGGAGGCAATGAATTGGTTGCTTTCTCACATGGACGATCCTGGTATGTTGCCCAGTTGATGTTTTCCAAGATTTATTTGTTTTCATCAGAAAGTTATCAGTTTATAGCATGCTTCAGGCTTCTAAGAGGTATTTTGTTTATTCAAGTTGATTGCACTAATGTATCTTTTACAATCTTCTATCCTTGTTCCCAGATATAGATGAACCCATTTCTCAAGAAGTGCGGACTGCTGAAGTTCTGTTATCATTTGTTGATCAGTCGAAAATTGATACATTGGTTTCGTTTGGGTTTCAAGAAGAGGTTGCTAGGAAGGCATTGAAGTCATCGGTATTGACTCTTATTCCCTTTAAATATCTTTCAATTAATTTAAGAGTTCAATTTTCAATATTGTTGGAATTTACTCTATTTTGCGGTGTCCAAATATTCATAGGGTGGGGATATTGAGAAGGCAACAGATTGGATATTTAGCCATCCTGAGGTCTCTGAGTCGTTGGATATGGATGCTACATCAAGCAATGCACAGAGTACTGCTGATGCTGGACTACCTGATGGAGGAGGAAGCAAGTTTTCTGGACCTTTTTTCTTTTTTCAGGGCATATAGCTGTTTTAAATGCTCACAAAATGGAACTTGTCATTCTTGATTTCTTTCATTTTTTCTTTTACTACTAGCGATTTCAAGCCAGAAACTTGTTATTCTTGCACACAATTCCATTTTAGGTTATATAGGTTAAAAGGTTCACATTCATCATCTCCATGTAGTAGATCTGTAGTTGGTAGTACCACTTTTACTCGTTTGAGTAGATATATAGGAAGAAGAAAATTCAGATATCACATTGTTGTTTTTCATGGTTGATTCATTAATAGTGAGCCTTTTTTGTCTGAGTTAATTTATTACTTAGTTTATTTACCATGCTATTATTTAATTGATTTTGGTTTTCATTATTTCACAGGATACAAGCTTATTGGACTGGTGAGTCACATTGGTACCTCTACCCAATGTGGGCACTATGTTGCTCATGTGTATAAAGATGGGAGATGGGTAATCTTCAACGATAACAAGGTAGGGGCATCCATTAAGCCCCCAAAGGACATGGGTTATTTGTACTTCTTTGAGAGAATGAACAGTTAGAACTGCACAAGCGATTCCCTGCAAAATGCCAGTAACCCAGTGATTGTGGTAATCTAGAGTGGCTGCTGCATCCATGAGCTTTTCGGAATTTGATTTTTCTTGAGTTTCACCATTGCATCAAGCTAACATTTCTTTCTAATGCAGTGCTTACTCCAGAAATATAACTGGCATAATTGTTCCATTTGTTATGAGCTTTTCATTACTGATGTGAATAGTAACTGCAATAACAATGTTATATCGCTTGTTTCATTCACGCTACTCAGCAGTTAAGAATATTACCAGTAATGCTTACCTTGATGCAATTTAGTCCTTTGGTAAAAAAATTAGGGAGAATGACTGTTCAGCCCACCGTACAGTTTGGGTAGGTGTCAGGATGGAATTGATGCCAATACACAGACGGGTATTGGTGTTTATGGTGGGGGTATTTGACATTTTGAATTGTTGCAGGTTAGGTCTGCAGTGGAATTCAAAATTCTGCAGTGAGGTGCGGTGTATTTATGCTCTACCTTGTTGCAATTTAGTCTTTTTCATTATGCCTGCAATTTCTGATGTTATATGAGTGATGTCTCGAAGAGCACGTTTGCACTTTGGTACATCCACTGTTTTCAAAACCGGACTGGACCGGATGGTTGGACTGGAAAAACCGGGAACCAGTCACCTGATCGGTTCCGTTTTCCCCCAAAACCGCTTTTTCCCTTAAAACCGTTGATTTTGGTCAGCAAATTGTTGAACAGGCCGGTTAATCATTCGAACTGTTTGAACGGTTTTGACTGTTTTCCAATTTTTTATTTTTTTAAATTTTTTTGTCAGAATGGGCCAACCATTTGGATCGAATCCCTGACCGGTTCGTTACCCTTATAATATATAATTTACAGCCGACTAATGATAAACATGTAAGGTGTACCCATTGAAAGCATGCTCGTGGGATGACCACTCTAATCATGTCCTTATAGTTTTGTATTCAAGACTGCACCTGTTTAATAGAATATTAAAGCGTAGATTTCTACTTAATTATGGACATGGCCAAGATATTTCAGCCATTATTTCTATCTTTTTATAAATTAAACTTTGTTTTGGGTCTTATTGAATTTATTTGATATAAAAGGAAAATTGGACCAAAATTCCAATCTATTGCTCCCTTCCAAAAGAAAAAAAAAATCCAATCTATTGGCAGCCTGGAGTTGACCGGAAAGTCCATCTACCTGTAAACTTCTAATCGTAGTGGGGACTGGGAAGATTTATGATCCATAGTCGTTCCTCAAGTAGTTAATTATTTCTTGAATCCAGTGTAGAGCAGCAAGTCGAAAATTTCGACTCCATATCGTTTCTCACGTAGTTCTTCAATCTGATATGGACCAGCAGGTGCGCAATCTTTCCTTGGCCTAAAAATCACACTGCCTACAGGCAGTCATGTGGGATTGTTGAAGCCAATGTGGTAAGCAAATCTTCGTCATTCACATGTACTAACTATGATGGACAATTTCATAATTGTTCACTTGACACTATAAAGGGTTTACAAAGCTTGGGGTTTAATCTTCTTCCTAGAAAGAATGGAAAAAAATTAAAGATTTGGGAGTTAATTCGCAACCCCCAAATAAAAAAAAAGGAAAGTTATTTTGTTGCAAATTTGCAATTGTGAGCGATACTTGTTACCACCAACCAAGGGCCGGCTCATTGGTGTGTTAGATGGTTTGTTTCAGTATTGATGTGAAATCGAATCCTGCAACCAGCATTTTGGTGAAAAAAAAGGGTCAAGGGGGAAGTTATTAATGGTGCATGGCACCGAATATCAAATAAAAAGGATGCATCAGCCCTTTGTTAAAATTCAGAACATCATGTGATCTGATTTTTTATTTCTATAACTGGTTTATTGATTTGGGGAATGCAAGTAAGTAGGGGTGGAAATGAATCGATCTTTTCATGAGCTATTCAAGCTTGGCTCGTGGAAAAGCTCGATTTGATTCGGTTTAAATTGAGCTTCGAGTCGAGTTCAAGCTTGATATATAGGCACATTTGCTAATCGAGCTGAGCTCAAGCTTAGTGAAGCTCGGCTTATGAGGCTCGCAACCCTAATATATATTATTAATATATATAATAATTTTACTTTTATGTATAATAAATAATTTTTATAATTCTTATTTTTTGTATATAAAAAAATAAATTTTATATGTATAATAATAAATATTATAAATAATATTTTTATTTTTTATATGTATGATAGTAAATAATTTTCATAATTCTTAATTTTTTGAATGTAAAATAAAAAATGATTTTTATATTTTTATAGGAAGCTTGGCTCACAATCGAGCTTGAGTCGAGATGAACTCAAACTTGCGAGCTTTGGAATCGAGCCGAATTCAAGCTTAACTCTCTAGCTTGAGCCTAACACTGGTTTAACAAGTTGAGCTCGAATAGCCAAGTATTCGGCTCGGCTCAGTTTGGTTCGAATCCACCCCTACAAGTAGGGATGTTGATGGGTTGGGTTAAACAATAAATAGAGCTTGGCCAGACCCTTAGAGTCAGGTCAATTTAGGTACAAGGTTAGGTTAGGGTTTTGATTCTTTAACGAGAGTTGGGCTTAAGTTTTGGCTAACCCTAAAGTTGTGAACGCATTAGTCAGAAGAATGGGGTCTCAATGATAATTGTCACGGACCCAAAGAGTAGTAGTATTTATAAGTATATTATAGATAAGTGCAACTTAGTATTTGAGTTACAAAAGGAAGCAAAGAGAAGGGGTGATTAGATTCTAACATGAGGTGTCGTGAGAGAGAGAGAGAGAGTTCTATTATAGTTACATTGTGTGGCTTCCATTATTAGATTCGTCTAGGGATGGCAAGTTCCCCCATAAAACCGGGGCCCCGTCCCGTCCCGAACGGGGCGGGTTTTCCCCGATCCTAAACAAGGACGGGGCGGGGACGGGGAAAATAATTTTTCCCTGAATCAGGTACGGGGCTGGGACAGGTTTTGTATATAATTCCCCGAACCCGCCCCAAATCCGAAGGTAGATCAATAAATTATCTCTAGGTTTAATATTGATATTTAAAGTATCTCTAAGTTTTTCCTAAATTTTTAAAATCCTATGATCCTATAATTTTATTTTTGAATTACCCCTAAAGTATTATAATTCAATTCTAAAATAACCCCAAATTCCTATGTTCTATGTATAAATTGTCCATAAAATAGACAATTTTTAAGTAATTACCTTGGAGCGGGGAAAATACGGGGATTCCTTGTCCCCGATGGGGAATGGATGCCCCACCCCAAACCCATCCCGCCACCAGGGACGGGGTGGGTACGGGGCAAGGTACCGTGACTTCAAGGCGGGGACAGAGAGGGGGTGCCCCGCCCCAAACCCCACCCCGTTGCCATTCCTAGTATCGTCCTGCCGGGTTATGATGCCCTATAGGTATTCTTATAATTTGCTGAATAAATTCTATAGCCTTAAAGTATAGGATTTCTTTTCATATTTATTTTTTCATTAATAGATCTATCAAGTTAAAAAAAAATGTCTACATTAATTGTAAACAATAATCAGTCAGTATAATACTTAAACCAACTTGTATCTAATATCCAAAAAAGTGCTAGAGTCAAATTAGCTAGCTTATTATATTGAAAATTTGATGTCCTAAAAAACTATTAGATAAACCATTGGTGTCTCCACTCCATCCTAATGATACCAATCCATAAGGCTGCAACCAAGGTTTTTAAACCAAACTGGACAACGAACCAGTTAGGAGTCCGGTTCTCAGGTCAAATGAGTCTGATCGTTCGAACTAAAAGTCCAATCATTTTGACAAAAAAAATTTAAAAAATAAAAATCAGCCAAACAATTGAACGGTTCAACTGCCTGGATCAGCGATTTATTGACTATATAAATGATTTTTGGGAAAATAACGGTTCTAAGATAAAGCGGAACCGATTACTTAACCGATTTTTAATTTTTCCGGTCTGAACATTCGGTCCGATCTGATTTTGAAAACCATGGCTGCAACTATCACTAGCAAGTTACAACAAAAGTTATTAAGCTCAAAGGACTTCTGCTAATGGGCCCCCTTCCGAAGAGCTTTCAGTCTACTTCTGAAGGGCCAAAGGGAGCTGTAATAGCACTTAAATTTTGCTGCTAGAAACAACCAGTATGATTACAGGCCACACCCTGGCAGTTACCTTATGTAATAGGCAAATGCAAGAGACTTTTGCGGATCACTCTTAGGTGGTTCATCGTACAAGTAACATGGGTGCTCATGTTATTCTTTGGCCAGAACTCAACTCATAGGTGGTTTATGTCCAAGAATTTTGTCAGAGTCCTATTTCTTACATCTTTTAATTCCTTTAACTTTAATTGAAAACAAATAAACATGAAATAGAACATTAATAGGAACTGCCGGGTAATTTATTCTTGAAGGCTCAGTTTGAAAACAGTGCAAATATACGGTCCTTTTGAACCTTTTGTTTCCACTTTGCACCCTACAATTTGTATTTGCTTTTCCAAAATGAAAAGAAAATTGTTTGCAGACTCCCTAAATATGATAACAAATAGTTAAAAAAAAAATCAGGAGTCTACCTCTGGCTCTGGTTAGACAGCCGAACCAAAGCCTACAATAAAGAAATGAATCACTGTTTTCAAAACCGGATCGGACTGAATGGTCTGACTGGAAAAACCAAAAATCGGTCATCTGACTGATTCTGTTTTCCTTTAAAACCATTTTTTCCTCTAAAACTGTTGATTTTGGTCAACAAACTGCTAAACCGGCCGATTAACCGTTTGAACGGTTTTGACCGTTTTCCAATTTTTATTTATTATTTTTTTTCATTAGAACAGGCTAACCATTTGGATTGAACGATCGAACCGTTCAAATTGATAACTGGACCCCTGACCGGTTCAGTCACCCGCTCGTTTTTAAAAACTATGAAATAAATGAATATAGTCTTTCTAGTCTGAACACACAGAATACAAACAGATTCAACATTGATATTTAGCTAGCTTTTCACACATTTATTGAAGAAGAAAGAAGTCAAGTCTTGGGACAAGTTTCAAACTCTAAATCAGAGAACAACCCACAACTTTCAAAGTTCTAACGTGTAAAAAGGAACATGACAATAATCACAATTTAGAACAATATACTTATAAGCAAATTTGAAAGAGAAACACCCACAGCTGGCAAGCTACCATAAAAGAGTATAAGAAATATAATGGCGAATATGTATGATTAAAATAACTTTTACCTAAGTGTCTTGAAATAATTATCTAACCATGGACGCATTCCAAACTTCAGTTGAGATAGAAATTTGAA